AATAACAAATACGGCTAACCTGACGTTTACTCCTCATTTGACTTTAAAGATGACTACCACTAAGGTGTCGAAACGTCAGTCAACAACAACAAAAACAGTCCTTCTCAGGACTATTTTAACCTGGACGATCGACATTTACAAACATGTAACGATACTCCCAGGTTCAAACCATTTACTTTATATTATTTTCTATTGGCTTTCTTTATTTACTAATTTGCATAAGTCTTTCTTGTTATGGTGAAAGTAAAAGTTCTCAATAGTTTTTTTTTACCAGAAGGAGCTCAAAGAATGAAAACCTATGTAACTCGGACAACCAAAGATAAGCCGGCGTTTTAAAATCAAATTTTCCTGTATTGTCACATGATTACACGCATGAGTGACCAGAAAGCCTGGGATCAATCTAAATGTTTCTTGAATTGCTTCACGCGCGAGTTTTGCTAACAACTTATACGAAATAATATAAAATTCACTTACATATTATAAATACATATATTGACATCACTACATGTGACATTACATGCACTGAATTTCACTGTGCTATTCAGCCACTATTTTAAATACACAATTATAACCAAACTCTGTTTTCGAGCAGATCGAGTTAATGTTAATTATGACCAGCGTTTTCCTCCTTTAGAATCTCTATTGCACATGTCTGAAAAAAATAGCTCTAAATGTGTTAGTAGTCAAATACTTTCTTTTGTAGTTTACTATATCAGCAATCATGATTCATTCATGTAATCTTTTCTCTGTAAATATTTTGACTGAACTCTTAATTCAAAATTTGACACTACGTTAGCTTTGAAAGTGGTACTTTTAAATATTGACTTGGTTCACTATCCTTCTATGCATTGAGAGCAAAAACCTAATAAAATGGACACAAGCCCCCGAAAACGTTCAAATCATTATGAAAAGTGATTGCCTATACTGAGTATGTGTTTTGTAAGTCAGAAAAGTACTATGACTTTTAAAACATAACGCTGACTAAAAATTCCATAACATTTGCGGATTAATGAAACATTTGATCTTTCAAACATTTCAGTCAAACAATTTCCATGTCATCATATAAGTAATACATCAGCTGCAAAAAAAACTTTATTTTTCTCAATGCAAGAACTCAAGTAAAAAGAGTTACTTTTCAACAGGGAGGAGGAATTTTCTTTATGTTTGCATATTGACCTTGGTTAATTTCTTTGACCACAAGTTTTACGACATCAATCGCGTCTCCATAATCCTTAACTCTGAAAAGATAATCTTCTGGTGGAAATAAAACAATCTGAACAATTTCTTAAATTCCACTGGTAATTGTCCAATACCGATAACATAGATTTCCACACCGTCATCTCTCAGTTTCTTCGCATTTGGTACTGTTTTGCTTTTATCTACGTTTGAATGTCCACCTGTCAGAAGGAACACCATTTGACGTGCACCACGACGGCTTCCTATATAAATTAGGCAAAAATGACGTGAATCCGTTGGTTTGATAGTTTGAGAGATAGATGTTCTTGGCAAATTATAGAAGAAAATGTAGTTGTTTAATTAATATTAGTATTGCTATTTTTCAAATAATGATGCTAGATAAACCAGTTTCAATGATTTTATTGTAACGCAATATTATTGAGAGAAAAGCCAATGATATCAAACAATGATACCCACATTTCAAAAATCTTAGACGAATTCAAAGTCATTCCTCCTTTAATGAAACTATAGTTAGCAAAGTCCCCACAATTCTGCAGCCTTTTCATTGTTATTACTCTTACGCTTGTTATTAAAGAAGTAAAATCTAAAAAGCGCCTTTTGTCATGCACGTTGCATGATAAAATCGTTATTTTTCACAACGAAGTCGTCAAAAGAAAAACACTACATTATTCAACAACAACAACATCTCGAATCTTTTATTTTCAACAACAACTCCCCCCTTCTGTGATAATCCCAAAGTGTCAATCACGTGAAATGCACGCGCTACGTCACAACAAAACAAAATAAAAACAACTGTTCATCACACTCCCGACGTTGATCATATTGATCAATTTATTTCCACGAGTTTTACTTAATTGACTGTCGCAATTGGTCTCCAATCACGGCTGCTTCGTTGTCGGGTTTTCATAGAGTTTCGTCTTTAGACTCAATTCCACTAGCGGTTTTGGGAACCACGGTATTTGCTGGAGGCATATTCAACTCAAGTGGTATCAGTTGTTGTATTGGACGACGTAGTTCTGACGATCGAGCCTTGTAGTACTCGCAACACAGACCTTGCTGCTCGAACAACACCATCCTTACTTACTATGAGCTCGGTAACTCTTGCCAATTTCCACACAAAATTCGAGGGAAAGATCATTTTTTAACACAACCACATCACCGACAGCTATCTTCTCCTTCTGTGCTCCATGAAGTAAGCGGGAAGTCTCTTTGACGCTTAAAAGATATTCCGTTCTCCAACGATTAATAAATTGATCTAACAAACGTTTCTGATATTTCGCCTTTCTGGTTAGAGTTCGATTCGTACTGATGATTTTAAATTGTCGATCGCTAGCCGTAAGAGTAAGTTGCCGTCCATAAATTAATTGAGATGGAGTCAGAGGGTAAGAAATTCCTTCTTGGTCATCATAGATATATGTAAGTGGACGATTGTTAATGGTAGCCTCAATTTCTACCAAAATGGTTCTAAGCGCTTCAAAATCCATTGAGGATCGACCGAGAGTTCTTTAAACATCTCTTTGTACTTTGTATCATTCGTTCGTAGAATCCTCCTTGCCAAGGTGCCTTTCAATGATAAATTCCCAATTGACACCCTAGCCAGTTCGCGTTGTATGTCAGTTGATCTCAGTATATTAGCAACTTCCCTTGAGGCACTTTTGAAGGTCTTGGCATTGTTCGATATTAGTCTAGACGGCAAACCTTTCATGAGACAAACCTTCGGAAAGCTTGCAGAAACGATAGCACAGACAAATAACAAAACAAGTTCAAGATGAACCGCTCGAGTGGAGGCACAAGTGAACAAACAGATATATACCTTATCCATTCCTTGATTGTTAGTATTATAAGGCCTGCAAAGTCAATACCGGTGTTTGAAAAGGAGGCTCTTCGCTTACTCGACTTGATGGCAAACATGCTTCCTTCGCTGCTGGGGAAGCTTTACCTTCGAATTTCTGCATTTGATACAACCACGCACAACACCCTTTGACGCACTCTCGACCACGCAAGATCCAGTATTTTCCTCGAACGCAATTCAGGGTTTCTAATTCCTTCGTGGTGTACTATATTGTGACAGTCGCGTATAATTAATTTCGAAAAGGTATGCCTTAGGGGCAACAAAATGGCTGTTTTGCGCTATCAGGTAACGTAGAGGGGCAATTCGACCTTCACACCGAATAATCTGATCATCATCGAGAAACAACCTGTTGTTGAACTCGTACATTTTACGACCGGTTCGAATACATTGTAACTCGTCAGAAAACGCGGCTGACTGAATACTTCGGATCCATAATCTCTCAGCTTCGAGTAGCTCATTAGCATTCAACTCAGACGTAACAGAGTATAGTTGCTTTTGATTTCTTGATAAACCTTAAAATTTGTGCTGTGACACGAAGTGTTTGTTCTTCGTACCATATCTATCTTGGTCAATAATCTTCTCCAAGTGGATGCAATTACGGTCAGGAAGCGATGTTAACGTCAAGGAATGTGTTATTGGAAGAGGATTTTGTATTATCTCTGTGTAGCAATGGTCCTCATCCAATTTTGCAGGTTGAAGATCTTCGGGCCAATTTCTTCAGTATCTTGGAGAAACTGCGGACCATTCCACCAAATTCCAGATTGCACAAGTTCACTCGGAACACCCACGAGAAGGCAAGTCGGCTGAGTTTATTACCCCAGGGCAATGTCTCCATTTATAACTACTAGTTAACTTTCTGATTTCGTTTACGCAGTTCTGTACATAAGACTTCCACAGTTTATGATTTCGAATCCAACACAATGTGGTAAATGAATCCGTCCATAAGATAATATCAGTGATACATTTTATTGAAGTCAACGCCATAATCGAATCGACTAATCTTGCTAAGGTAGTTGCGCCTAACAATTCAAGTCGTGGTATGGTCTGTCGTTTGATAGGAGCGACTCTTGTCTTGGCTGCTATTAAATTCAATTTCAATTTCACCGTTTTTATGTTCCGTTCGTAGATATACAACTGCGGCAAAGGCAAATTCCGATGCATCGCAAAATCCATGTATCTGATGAATCGGAGATGAATCGTATCCACCATGGAAGTAACAACGCGGTACTCGTATGTCACTTAAAGCCCTTAAGTCGTGAACGAGAGAATTCCAACGTGATAAGGCCTTGCCAGACAGATCTTCATCCCAATTACTGGCCAGTAAAGAGCAGAGGGTTTGAAACAACATCTTCATATTGATAGTAAAGGGTGCAAAAAGGCCAATAGGATCGAATATTTTCGCAGATAGCTTTAAACTGACCTCTTTAGTTGCAGGAAGTGATTTTGCATAATGCACTAGCTCGTCAAGATCATAACACAGCTCGTCACTGCTCTCATCCCAGCTGATTCCTAGAATTTTGATACGGTTCTCTTGGATGTGGACTTAGGTTGTGGCTCTGTATGAGGCGAAGGAGTTTTTACTAAATTGTCTTCCACCATCGTACTTGATATATGTTTAACATATGATGACCCCTTTTCATTTTCCACCTCAACAAACGGTCGATCTTCATCATTCGCGATAACATTTCGGACATGTTGCGAGTTTGAATGCCATTTTCGAAGCTTGAATCCTCCCTCGCTCATTAATTTTCGAGATCTATGATAGATGTATAGAGCTTCGTCCTCATTAGAAGCTCCTCCAGCGAAATCGTCAACATATAACGACTCGATTAATAAGGAGACTATTTCTGGATCGACATCCCTGTATTTCGAAACGTGGTGACGAATAACAGTAGATAATATTGCAGGACTTGGGGTTAGACCAAATGGTAGGCGTCGGAACTTGTATTCCTTAGCATCGGTTGAACTTGGTTAATATCGTCAAACCAAAAGAAACTTCAGCATCTTTCGTCTTCGGAGCAATTTGTATTTGATGAAAAGCCTTTTCGATATCAACAGCAAGCCCAATGGGGAAGCCTCGAAAGTTTATCATAGTGTCAAATAAAAGTGGAACCAAATTTGGTCCCTTTTCAAGGCAATCATTGAGTGACTGCTCTTCCTTAGTAGCTCTTGCCGAACCATCGAAAACCACGCGAAGTTTTGTAGTTTCCTTATCTTCTCGAAGTACGCCATGATGGGGTAGGAAATAACCGGTTTCATGAGCAACAAGAACTGGGTCAATAATTCCTCCTTTCACTTGATCTTTGATAATTGTATCGTATTCTTGCAATAAGGGTTTATCTTTATCGAGACGAGATTTCAACTGGTGTAATCGTTTCAAACACATACCGTAACAGTCTGATTTTGAATATATTCCCTTCCAAGGTAAGTTCACTTCATATCTCCCTTCATCCTCAAGATATTGTATATCTTTCAGAAACTCCTGATCCTGTGATTCGTTGGATTCTTTGATTCCCATTGATTCGATCTCCCAAAACCGTTTCAAGCATTCATGTAATTTGGGTTCTCTCTTTGTCAAGCGGAAACTCCTTTGAAAAGAGTAATCTTCGATGATTAAATTAACGTTTGACAATTTCGAATTAGTTCCACCATCATTCATCTGTCCAGTGATAATCCAGCCATTCACTATTAATCGCAACAGGACCACTTTCACCTCTTATAATTCGCCTGTCATGATATCAAAATAATAATCTGCCCAATTAGAATATCGATGTTGCTGTCCGTCTGTCGTCCAGAGAGGATATTGGTATCGGAAAGCTGTAAACTCTATCAGATGAGGATAATGATTGAGATCAATTAATGTTGTTAATGGAGAGCAAATATTTGGGAAGCAAAGAGCTGTTATGATTCGCTTTCCATTCTTTTCCTTTCAGGCACAAATGAACCAAGTCGCATTTTGCTTTGTGAAATGTTGGTTGCCAAAGGTATTTAAATTAACAACTTCTTTCTGATGGGAACTAGTCCAAGCCGGGTTTTAATGAATTCGTAACATAAGTGCGCTTTGACTACCGCTGTCCAAAAGCACGCGAACAGGTATAGAATGGAAACCATTCCCACCATTGGCGTATGTAATAGCTGTTTGCAGAAGAACTTGATTATGCGTTTTTGCCGTATTCGTCGTTAAGTAATTATCTCCATCAATCATAGTAGCTGTGTGCGAACGTTGTTTCCTTCCTTGGTTTCTGGTAGGTTGCTTCCAGTTGGGAAAGTTTGGGATCATTTGTAATTTTTGTTGAGGAGGCGTAAAACTTGGCTTAATCACTTGGCAAAATTGATTACATGAGCCCCTTGACAACGTCTACAATTCTTCTTGACTCGCAATTTTTTACTGTGATGCCTCGATTCGCAGGCATACGAAACAATGATTGTCTCTCCTCAATATACTCTTTTGCGATCATTCACATCAAGTTACTCTATCACATGATGCCGAAAGTGTGGCTCTTTACAATAAACACATTGAATATGTTTAGCTGAAGTATTTTGACGAGAAGGCGTTTACCGTAGGCATCCGTGTTTGGTGCTGACCTCCTGAATTTTCCATGCTGTGGCTGTGGACTTGATTGCACTCCTTCACTTATCTCACGAGCTTCGATCTCAGTCTTTATTGTATCCAACAACTCATCAATTTTCCAAACGTCTCCCGACGCTTCGGGCAATTTGTAGACGAATGTCACTAGGTAATTTAGTCATAATAATCGGGATAAGCATACTACCATATTGCTCTGGAGGAAACGCCAAGACTTGATAATCCTCGTACGTGAACGCTTACTTTATCGTATATGTATCTTATATTAGTTCTACCGTTGGCACAAGCTTGAATCTTAAAATTTCATCCATGTGAGCTGCCATATGGTTTGCTGGGTTTTCCTGAAGCGATCGTTCAAGATTTTACAGCAGAGTCGTAATTGGCATTAGTTAATGTTAGACCTTTAATGGCCCTCGCTGCGTTTCCCCGAGAAGCGATTTCAGATAGTTTAATTTACTCGAAATGTTTGGATTACTGTGAATCGCAGAATCATACAGATCCCAAAACGAACTCCACTCCGTAACCTTTGCCACCATATTTCCGGAAGCTCCAGCTTAGAAGCTTCGGCATATTTGACTTAAATTGAACCGTCGTCGTAGTGCGTTGTCACTGTTACATTTCCTTCAATACAATTTCGATCGTCGCTTCGATCATTTGAACCTTCGATTAAACCATTATGTTTTCCGTCGCATTTGCCAAATTTTCGTTAGAATTCTCGATACTTTCTGTTTTGGCCAGGGTTTGACATGTTCGTCAAAATTCGAGTTAGATTATGGTATCGTTGACATTCGTATCAACGAGACTGTCATTCTTAGCGCATTTAATATGCCTTCGATTTTTCTTTATACTCATAACTCTATCAGAAATTTCGGCCGAGTCCTCGATTTCACCTTTGTATTTCATTAACATCACACGTTCAATATTTCTTCGTCGAGTTCAATCTGAATATTTTTTCCTTTCGAGTTGTTGTGCGATGATTTCACATGTTCTACAAGGTCATCATGTGGTGGCTTTGATAACAACTAACTGACTTTTCTCGAGTTTTGTACACACTCCGCGATGTCCTCTTCTTTCAGCACGAAGCTTCCTTTCCAATTTTTCCTTGTCTTCAGTCGACATTTTTGTAAGAAACGAATATGGGCGACTTTATTTCGTTAAAGCCGCCCCTATTTTGCCATATCATGCACGTTGCATGATAAAAATCGTTATTTTCACAACGAAGTCGTCAAAAAGAAAACACTAATTATTCAACAACAACAACATCTCGAATCTTTTATTTTCAAAACAACTCCCCTTCTGTGATAATCCCAGTAAATAATCACAAATGCATCAGCGCTACGTCACAACAAAACAAAATAAAAACAACTGTTCATCACACCTTTTTAGAATTTTAAATTAGTAACGTACAAGTTCAGATTTATTTATTTAGATTTCTTTCAAAATTTCAAAATTTTAAATTTCAGCTTTTAACTAGCATGAAAGAATTAGAGAAATATTTGTAAGCAGCGTTTTGTTGATAAACCAGTTAGTAATGACTATTATAATTTTTCAACTTCATTGTATATGTAACTCTTTTTTGTCGTCTCACCTTTCGTAGAATCATCAAATAAATTTTTTGCTTTTGTTAAGCCGTCAACAGTGTTTGTCAGCCCTCTTTCATAGTTGAATAAATCATATTTTGTGTCAGCTTGTGAAGCAAGAAAGAAATTGAACATGATCCTTGCGTAATTGGAGTACTGAACGCCAGCCCAGTTACCATCGTAGTTGGAAGGTAATTTTATATTCATCATATTTTTCATTGCCTGTTTTCTCTTCTTGTACTCACAATCTCCAATGGAACCAGATGAATCCATTACAACAGCAGTGTCTTGAAGATAAACTTTCTTTTATTTAGGAGAGAAGACGGCAGACGAAAGAATTTCTTTACAATTTTATCTGCTGTCACATTTATTGCAGGAATTTGTTTGAATTCTGAAATAAATAGTTGAAGAGCGCAGTTTCACACAATACCGAAAATCGTTTAATTTCTATGGCGTTAGTTATCATAATGGCAAAAAGTTCAGTTTATTCTATCCAAAAGTAACCAGCTGGTACACTACAACAGTATATTTAGCACAAGACAATTTCATCACGTTAACTTAGTGTCATAAAACTGCTTATTACTGATCGGAGGTAAAGTGGGATTCGGTGTAGTGGCTCTAATCCAAAATGGTAGTGTACTTTCCACTAATGTTATTCTACGTACAAATGCAAGAGCTATCATGGAAAGTGTAGTTGCCCAATTCATGTTAGGACTTGAATGTTGAATTGATATCTCCTAATGATATAAATAAACTTTTAAATACTTAATGATTTCCTCGGCCTCATTCTTGTTAAAAACCTTCACAAAATACTTGTTTTAAGTTCATGTTAAAAAATCTTTAACTTTAAAGCCTAGTTTTCACTATGCGACATCAGCACAAGCAAGAAGAAACCAAAGCAAAGCAATATTCTCCAGAGGTTAGAGGAAGGAAAGAAAAGGAATTTGCTTTACAATATGCAGTTGTTTCACCTTAATTACGCTTATGTCAGGATCCAGCACTTAAGCTTATGCTTATATTTGATGATTGTGTTGGCTGCTTCATTGCATTCTTTTTATTTCTTTGTCTTTGCTTATCTTTATGCTTTTATGTCCTTAAGTGAATACAATGCTTAAAAGATTCACTTTAAACGAAAAATTTGCGTTTCATAATTGAGCTTCTACCTCTAAATCTACTGTTTGGTTAAAATGTACACTGTGACATTCATTAGTTATACGTTCCAGATGTGAGAAAAATGAACAAAAACGTTTCTTTCAATTTGCGTGGTATAAAAACAATAAGTATGTGGTATTTTATTAATAGGGAGCACTAAATCTTGAGCTTTTTACTAACTCAAGCAATCGAAGAGTAAAAAACTTAAGCATGAAAATGTGTAAACCATTTTCACAAGGATGAGTATACGTAATGGCAAATAAAATGTCACACAAGCAATTTATTATTACAGGATGCCTGGAAACTCATATAAGAAAAATAGTTTGAATGTTATTTTATAACATGCAATAAATAACATAGAATGGCATGATCTTTATATGTACTAACTTTGGTTTATGTGATACATGCAGATTTAACTTTATTGTTTGAAATTCTGCTAATGCAAATTGAACTCTGTTTGAAAAAAAGTTTTTGTTCTGATACAAGTAAAAAGAAGATGACTGGTATAGTGCCACCTTACAGGGCGTGCGTTCAACAATGAGATTCACCAAACTCATTTTTACAATGAAGATTCAAAATAACTGTGGAACGTCGTTAAATAATTGCATGGCTTTCATCATTCTGAGTGTAATGATTTTGAAGTTTAAACTTTCGATAATTTTGAGAAAATTATCTTAATGCGTGCTCAATTCGATCAACTTCAGCAGAGAGCGATAAACGTTCTATGTTGTTTTGTAAACATTTGTCTCGTCGTCACTTGATAACCATGAACGGATTTCAATCAAGATTTATAAATTTAGGAACGTAACATATTTTGGCCATGGAGTTTTACTTTCAAGTATGTATTCAAAAAAACTTATGTGGCTAGATTTACGATGACATAAGCCTACAATAGATAAAGTATGTATGAATCGAATAAAATTACCTGCAAATTTTTACGTCAACTTTGTTAAACTTTGTAAAATGTAACCCACAATTGTACAGATATTTTCTTACTCCTTCTATCAATGTTCTTAAGACTGCAACTTGTAGCGGCAAACAACTTTCCTTTATACCCCATGCAAAGCATGTAGCATCCACTTTGCAAAATCATAGACATGCTTACCAAAACAATGCATATAAGTGAAAAAAAAGTTGGAAGTTGTCAGAGGTTATTTACATGATTTGAGGGATTAAATAGAGCAAAAACTTGAAGCAAAAAATTAAAGCTGTTTGTTGAAACGGTTAATTCTCAAATTAGGCCAAATTAATTGTTTTCATTTTAAATGCTTAGCGTTTTTGTAAAGTCAGAATATTGTAAAAATGCTCAAGATGATTTATCTGATGATAAGTATTTAATCTTTTCCATTTGCCAAAATCATTTATCGCTTCGCTGAATCCCATGTAATCGGGCCCTCAGGCCAAAAAATCTTTTTAAAGCTTAAGCTTCAAAGACTGCCAGGATCTAATCAACAAGTAAAATAATTCAATGATCTATATTTAAATTCAAACATACTTATTTCAAATTGAATCACAACTGAAATCTAAATACCTTATAGCTGTGGAAACGCTTCCTTTACAACTTAGTAAATTTTTAGAATAGTCTGACTATTCTACAAAATTATAGTCCACCAAATCCAAAACAAAATTTGCTAATAGAATACAATACGCCTGACTTTCAAATTGATGACACCACCCTGTCGTGAACAGTGCATGCAAGTCAAGGCATCATTGACTAATAGAAAATATAGTATCGAAGTAGTCCCCAGCCCCCCGGTAATTTACAAAAAATGAATCGCGAGAAGAGCTTCTGGCCAATCAAATAAATGGATATAATCATCAGATGGTGCGAGGTTTGTGCGCTTAACCGCTGCGTCCGTAAACAAGAATGCGTTTCAAATAATAACTTCAGATAAAACTGAAATGCAACTCGGACTTTGTAAAAAAGAAAATACGTAATTACTCATCATTTTGGTGACCTTTGTACTCAAAATAGATTAATTATTTTTTTAGGAAAATACGCATGTCGGATGATTCTTTTGACATACCCTAAATACTTTCCTGATAACAACTGCTGAAAATATTTTTTTGTAGTTTTGTCTCATTCAAATACATAAGTACACACATATGCTCGGCTATTAGCTCCCCCCAAAAAATAACTTAATGGCATCTGCTGCACATTTTGTTCGCTTGTATACTTGAGAAAAGACGTATTTGAATATTTTTTTGGGCAGTCAACATCTTTTCGTGGAAATGGTGAAAGACATATAAAATAACACATTAAAACGAACAGTAATTATTCGTCTGGGTGTTGTCTTTATTTGGAACAACTTCATTTACATGATATGTTTTAAACATAAGCAGTTTTCCAGTTGCATAGGGTTGAACACATAATTTTATACATTCAAAAAATGCCACCCCCAGTCAATTTCAAAAAACCCCACTTAGTATGTTTTTAGTCAAATTACAAGGTTCGTGCCAAGAAACTTCATTAAAGAGGTTGTGGAAGGAAGAATATAATGTCAAAACACATCAATGTTGCTCAAACAATTATAATATTGTCAGAATATTTGAAACATGTCCTGGTGATTGAGTAGTAATTGATGTCTTCAACATATTAAAGATATCTTGTTAACTATGGAAAACGGAGACTTTTAAACTAACTTTAATTTAGGTTGAAGACTTATTAAAAATTTTAAACTAATGCTGCTCAAAAACTCTAAAAGGAGCTCTTTGTTGATTTTATTGCTAGATTTTTAGGAAAGTTTAACTACTTAAGATTTATTAAACAAAACTGAAACGTTTCTATTTAAAGCAAAAGATTTTTCTGATGTGCTAATGTGCAATTAGTTCATTGAAATATATTTGATTATAACGTTAAACAAAACTATTTCTTTTTTAAGACGTAAGACAGACTCAATTAACGGTATGTCCTCTTATAAACTACTGTGTAAGAATCACTTCCCGTCAAATATATCTTCATGTTAAAAAAATGAATTTACATAAAGGCTGAGGTTACGGAAGCAGTGGCGGATTAAGTCTACGTAAAATATATATTCATGTTACAAAAACGAACTTACACAAAGGGTGAGGTTACGGAAGCAGTGGCGGATTAAGGTACGTCAAATATATCTTCATGTTATAAAAATAAATTTACATAAAGGGCGAGGTTACGGAAGCAGTGGCGGATTAAGACTACGTCAAATATATCTTCATATTATAAAAATAAATTTACATAAAGGGCGAGGTTACAGGAGCAGTTGCGGATTAAGACTATGTCAAATATATGTTCATGTTACGAAAATGAATTTACATAAAGGGTGAGGTTACGGAAGCAGTGGCGGATTAAGACTACGTCAAATATATCTTCATGTTATAAAATGAATTTACATAAAGGGTGAGGTTACGGAAGCAGTGGCGGATAAAGACTACGTCAAGTATATCATCATGTTATAAAAATAAATTTACATAAAGGGTGAGGTTACAGAAGCATAAAAAATTTCACTAACTTTGGTAAAAAGTTCTTTCCATAAGTCGTTCATAAACTTGAAATGCAGCTTTTAAACCACTTTCCAAAGCACCTTGTATCCACTTCGGGGTAAAAGAAATTCCTTCGCCAGCAAAATGAACGTTTCCTATAGGCTCCCATAAATACCTAAATTTGAAAAAAAATATAATATATACCAATGTTTATTTTTAAATTGTAAATTGTTATTTTAGGAAAATAGAGGTTTGAGTAAAAATTGAAGGAGATAACATAAACGAAAATTATGCATAAAATGTTATAAGTTGTATTTGACGTTATTTCTAAGTATATAAAAAACAACAATTTTACAGAGATTTTTGTGAAAAACATTGAAAAAAATGCGACGAGCATTTTTACAGTATTATCTTATAAAAAATAATCTCGTTTCTTAACCTGTCACTTCAATTAAAGAATTATGCGTTACCCCATATCGTGCACACCTTATATTTTTGTGTTGAGCAGCTTTCATTCTTCCATACGCTCCTTGATAAGATGGCTGGTTATACCAAGCATGGACAATACACGTTGTCACCATGTCTTCTTTGAATGCCGGATGGATTTCTGCGAGTTGTTTCATCACCTTTTGTTTCACTTGCTCTTCTTTCATAGATCCAAAAAGCAGAGCTTCATTTTTCCATGTGTAGATCAAAACAAGTCCTTCTTTTGTGTTGGGATCTTCCGGAGTGAGATAATGAATCTGACCTATGGGAAGGTTTGTCTTAGAAAAACCACCTTTGATTCCTTCATTTTCCCAGAATCTCTGTTTGGTCTGAATATAAACTTTTGTTGATTGCACAATAGAAACATCTTCCATAGCTTGAACACATTTTCTCATCGCCAACTGGGATTCATCATTATGAAGCTTTGGTTTGAAACTTATTTGACGCAAAGTATTTATTGGGGTGGCAACAATTACTGTCTAAACAAAAATAAAACAGTTTTCAAAGGTTTTGCTTAGCTTTTATTCTTAAAAATCAGGAAGGTGCATATAAAACTCTTAGGTGCATATAAAACGGTATATGCAATTTTTACAGACTATCAATATCAATGAAAGTGAAAATTATTGAGTCAAACAGACCTTTGAAAATCGTCCTGGTGATTGACAAGTATGACCAGTCCTAAAAATTGCTGAAAACTACAATCAATAAGATAGCTATAATGTAAATGAGACAATACGTTTGGGGAGACTTCTCATTAGGTGGCAACCAATGGTTACGATTTTATCTTGCCAGGTGCTAAATTTTAGGTCTGTATAGTGTCACGTTACGTCAAATATATTCTTCAGGTATGAAAATTCAGTTCTTAGTGGAACATCAAAGCAAACAACTACTTTTGGTAAGGTTTCAGGAGACTTGGGAGATAGTAAGATTTCAGAAAACAGGCAATTAAAGATGTCCCAATGGATACGACCTACAGACCCCACTAAATCCCTGAGAAGAGCGGGTTCGCGTTGAAATTATATTCTAAAAGCTAATCCATTTACCGTGAATCAAGCTAAACGCAACACTCAACTCTTTTTTTTGTTTGTTGCGTGATTTTAAGCAATATGTGACAACGCGCTCAACATGTCGAGCTTTAAAATCCTGGGAAAACATGCAGTACAGTGAACAGCTAAAAATTTTTCCTCCCGAGCCATTATTCAGCATATGCACTTCACAGTGCGCATGTTCTAATAGTAAATAATGCTGCTCAAAAGCACTTAAAGATGTTGAGATACGCTTCGGAGTTCAAAGGGCTATAGAGTTAATTTAAAAGCTGTAAACTGAAGTACTAATGATTTTTCCTAAGACGACAAACAATTAGCAAAAGCTGAGTACAAATCCTGTAAAACCAGACGGATAATGTAATTCCATAGGATGCGAACAAAAAGCAAAGGCAGACTGCCCTCAGACCAGTAGTAAGAATATCGAAAAGCAAATGTTTGTCACAATTGAGGCCTTATAACTATTATATTCAAAGTAGGAAAAATTGTAGCTATTTGAAAAGAAATATTGCACAGAAACCAGCAATACATTTTTGAAAAAAGTGGAAAGACCAACAAAATAGAAGTATCAACTATCCTTAAACTATTTATACTCGATGTTCAATTTACTAATCTCTCGTACCTTCGCATTATACACACTTGGCGCACCGCTACTTGAATAACACGACACTTCAACGAGATCTTTCAGAGGATACTCATCTTGATACCAGTAATTTATTTCGAAAACCTGTTTCTTGTATTCTATGTCATCCGTACTCAATCCTTCAGCGTTGAAAAACGCTTTCGGCAAACTATGCATACCTCCTTTCAAGCAATGCATTTCACGAGAACACCATTTTCCCAGTTCAAAATTAAGATAGGATCCCAGCGACTGATCAAGCTGCTCCGTATAGCAAAATACAGAATAACCACGAACAGCATCATTCGACCATGGCAAAAGATTTCCAAGTTTAACTAAATCCAAGTCTGCTTGATCTTCAACAGGTACTTTAGCTTTGATTACCTCGATATTACTTTCAAGAAAGCTTTCCAACGTAAACTGACTCCAGATTTTAATCCAACGTCCCCATGCATTGACTTGATCATGAACACTTTCTGATTTCGACAACCAAGTGTAAAGCTGGTCTGTAACAGCACCGATTGTTTCATCATAATATTTTTCTGCAAAAAAAATGGAGGAAGTTTACTAAGCCCTTAGCTAATAGCCGAGTGCGAGGTCTTTACGTAGAATTATCCGACCGAGGTCTTTATGCACAGACCGAATCCGCAGGGCGAGGTTTGTACAAAAAGACAGGGGTCTGATATTTCTAAGCAAAGACCGAGAAAGCGAGGTTACTAAAAAGTTTATTATATGGCATTATTTGACCTGAAACGAAGTTGCTTTCTTTCTCGTCTTAGCTGTTTTGCTTCGACTCACATTCGCAAATGTTTTTTTGCTTCGTTTTTTTTTTGATTTTGCTGTTTGCTTTACAAAGTTCGTTTCCATTTGATTGTAAAATTACGCATTTTGGAACGTGGCCCATTACGTAAAATAACGGACCGGCCAAAATGTTTCTGAGCGAAACAAAGCGCGCCATTTTGCTGGAAGTGACGCTTGGCATATATAATAACTTCAATTAATCATGATTAAATGTCATTGCTCTCAATTTACAGAAAATGTCTTCCAAGATTTCTAATTTCCAGAAAAATTCTTGCAAGAATAAAATAAAAAAATATGGCGATTTTCAGCAAAAATAGGTTTTTAATAAAATTGAAGAAATTAAAGTCTCGTTACACTTACCAACATCCAAAATATCGTCTTTTAAGGCATTATTCATGCCATCTTTCCAGTTTGGCCAAATGTTGTCAAAATGCTTCTCAGCCCAAACTGCAATGTGAAAACACGCCGAACGTGAAGTGGTTAATTTATTATCCGATAATGATTTTTTGGTCACCTAATTCTCCTTTCTTTGCAAAACGTGTCGACACTACCTACACAATTTCTTGAAATTGACCTGGTTTATTACAAACTTCATATTTAAAGAACTTTTTTGCGCCATGCATGCAAAGTATTTAATTGTTGCAATAATTCATTTGTTTTATACTCTTCACCTTCAGATTTCTCGTGAAACCCATAGATGCAGGTAATGACATTTTTGTCAAAGTTAGGAAAAGGTTTTATGGACAGATTGAAACATTTGATGTAACCGTCTGCCAAAAAATGCGGTCTGTCTGATTGATCATTAGCATCACCGGGAAATCGCATAGCCCCCACTAAAAAATAGAACAGTTCATTTTTTTCAAAACTGTAAGATTTGATGCTAAAATTTTTCTTAATGTTCTGAGGACATTCATTAACTAGAATATAAGTTTTTAATGGTTAACATATTTTGGCGTATGTGTAAGTTACGTAACTTGCTCATACATGCTCTTGTATACTTCATCATTACTAGATGAAAGACTGACCATGTCACTAGAGTCTTATCACTCTCGACATTAAACAAAAGACAATGTTTGCAATATCTAATTTGTGTTTGAAACAAATGATAAGAGAAAAATATCAATGAAAGTAACAGTTATTTTTTGGCGTGTTGATGACACAAGTCCTAACCTTGAAATGAAAAAAAAGGTTGTTGTCACGAAAGCATAAAAAGGGGGGAGTTCAGCAATGGAAAAAACTATGGTCTGATCAATCAAAATTTCATTTGTCTCGTTCATATGAGTTATTTGTCGTGCCTATACGTAGTTTAGCATATGGGAGATTCTCTTACGATATTGTGGTTTTTGGGGCATTTTGGGGGAAGGAAAATCGGCTGACTTTGCAGAAATGCATACAATCTTAGAAAAGAAGCAATACCACTCTATTTTGCAACGAGACACAAATACATCTGGAAGAAGAATCATAGAAAATTACTTCATTGCACAGCAGAACAGTGACCAAAAATAAACGCACTTCTACAAATCCCATGTAGCTCAATAGCCACACCAAGATATTTGGGTCATAAAAAAAACTCTTTACCTCAAGTCCGTTCGTATTCAAAATGTATAGACGAACCGAAAATTCAAAACAAAGCCTTTGAACTTCGTTGTCACAAATTTCACATAAAAGACCAAATTGCTGTGTACATGTTTTGTATTTTCGACTACATTTGGGATAGTTGTTTTGATAGTTAAAAATGATATAGCTAAACATCTAATGACAAAACGGAATTATAAACAGTTATGAATTGGGTGGATTAACATTCTTGCCAAATTAAAGTTCTATTGAACTGTGGGATTGTTTATAAAAATATGGACGACATGAAATAATTATAAATTCAAGCAAACACCCACTACGGAACAAGTTTATCCATACCTTCTGCATACAGACCAGACGCAAGACCACTCTCTTTACCATACGTAAAAATTCTTCCCCCATAACGGTCCGTTTGCTCTAGAATTTTCACAGAAAGACCAGCTTTTTTCAATTCATACGCTGCACTTAAACCTGCCATTCCTGCACCAACAATAATGACGTCACTGATTTTTTCATCTTCAGTAGCATTGACAACATATCTTGGAGGTTGTGTTTCCCGTGGATCATATCCGTAACGATTGTAAGCTGTTTGCAAACCTTCCTCTTGGATACATTTCAGAAACGTTTTGATTAATTCACTTAGCTGAATTGGAACTTGATTATTTTCAGGACGTTTTAAAGAATTGTCACTTTCCCAAAATCTTTTACGACTTTTAAGATATTCTGACGCCATGGTGTACTTCTTGATTGGACAAAATAAAGAGTTTTAATGACTAATGAGTGCAAGGATACGTATTACTTTATGCATATTGGAAGTATACATACGGGACGAAAATTTAGTTTTTTGTTAATTGATCGTCATTTTCAATTATCGAATAACCACAATAAAATGAGTGCACTGATTGGTCTATACTTGGGTTATTATTAGCTGTGGAAAATAGATCTGAGCTACAGTCATTAAGCCGAAAAACAAATCATTAAGTCTCTTGTGCGCAAACTTAGATTTTACCCGCCATAAAACCAACAGAATGCTAGTAAAAAAATCTTTGGGGGGCATTTTACGTTTGGTCTGAGCTTCAACCCATTCTTATTTGGTATTGCATATGTTACAATGTGACGTAGATGTTCCATAGCAGAACTGACAACATATTTTGTATATGCTCACGTGACGTTCCTCGTATATGCGTTTATTCAATTAAGAAATACATGGCAAAGTTAATACTTCAACAAAAATGTATTGCCAACAATGCATCAATTAATCTCATACTTATCGATAGCTTTATACTAACTCTCAAGGTAAACAAAAGTTTCTACAGAAGAGAAGTGATTAATCTACTACGTCTTGCCTTGGATACTCGCACCCCCACACACACCCTCCTCCCTCCCAATTCAAAAGATTGCTGTACTTTTTAGACTTAATAAAATGAATATCAAAAGTACAAGACAAGATTTTTAGGCTTTTCTCGTCCAATTCGCCCGGTCACATTTCACCACGAAAAAAATGATTATTTAATAGTTCAAATAGCAATTAATGGTAAGGTGTTTCCGCGACTAAATTTCCTTAAGTAATTAGTGCAAAAAAGTACCATTTATAAACAAAGAAGAATAAACTTCAAAAAAGAACTACACATAAAACATGTTGGTTTCGTTTATTTAAAAAAATTTGAGCGCTGCAAGGCTAAAACAAATTGTCGTCAATGAACTTGTTGGAAAATCACTGCCTTGCATCAACAAAATGACTGCGGCCTTCAAAGAAAAAAATTACGACTTTGTGCCCTCTTATGTTGTGTGCATTTTAACTTGAAGTTATTAAATTTGGAAAATTTTTTTCATTATAATTTTTGCATATATAAAAGTTGTGTTTGGTTTGATTTCGACTTGAAGGTGTTTTGACTTAAAAATTCATCGAAGAATAAGATGCAATGCACATTCTGTTGCTCAACATTTGCTGCTCTGAAATGTTTAATTAAGCACGTTATTCTTTTATGAAAGCTGCAAAGTTTATAACAAATGCTGTACTGTAGAAGTGGGATAAAGGTAGGGCAATTAGTGGAGTGAGGGGAGAACAAAGCCCCATTATACAAGATCTGGGAGGTAAGCCCCCTTCTGCTTTCGAAAATGCATGATTTAATAAGAACATGATTGACGAAAACTCAATGTATTTTCAAGAAGTACAATTAGAATTATTAAAATCACGTTCTTCATAGAGCGATAACTCTTCTTGTCTAAATATTTCACATGTCCATGCCAGCATTCATTTTTGCTGTTTATTTTTCAAATGGAATAACTTAGATTAAAACTTACACGAAGAACTTCTGATAGCTGCATTGAGTTGCACGGGCGCAAAAAAACGACAAATATTTACTGACATCTGGTGTTGTATTCTCATTTAAGTGTCGATGCTCTTCGTCATCGTATGTGGGTCAAACCACACGTCATTTGCACATTAAAACATCGGAAATCTTGGGAATCTCTCCCTTAACAGGGAAACCTTCCTCTTGTCCACCACCGTCCGCAATTCTTTCCCATATAAGAAACATATCTCACTCCGCCGATTTTAATGACTTCTCAATTCTCTCTTTTTCCTCCGACAATTATGACCTTATGATTCATGAAAGCCTTCTCATATCTAAGCTTAAGCCCTCTCTTAACACCCAAGGTAACTTAATCCCCCTTTTCCTTTTTAATATACTCCCCTTTTTATTTCATTTCGTCATCTAAACTTTCTACTCTCCTCATATGTAATTTAACACCTTGTAAATATATGCTTATATTTAAAGCCTCATGCAAAAATTTCTATCATTTAATCTGAAGATGTTTTAACATTGGCGTCAATCCTGTGTTAATTGAGGGGATGGGGCAACATATTCATATATTCTGTTATGCCTGGCCTAATTTTCAAAACAATATACCTTTCAAAAGAAATCAGCCTGGCATCACATAATATATGAATATGGTCCTCATTCAATTATCGCAGGATTGGCTCCAATGTGTCTTAAGTTAACGCCATTATTAAAAAACCTTCATTAATTATTTCTGATTTACTATCATGATGGATTTTTTAGAAGTCTTATGTAGAGCTATTATATTCATAATAAAAATATTTTTTCTAGTTTAATTTGAAAGCCTGTCACTACTGTTTTAGAATGATAGTATTCCTGTAGCAGTAGGGTAATAGAATTTAGTATACAACTAGACATAATGTTATAAATAATGTTTTCATTACTGTGTTAAAAATTACAATAATTTATAAATTATAAGCTATTGTAGTAGACTCATTTTCTTAACTTTCAGATCTCCGTCATGCATAGCAAGGTATGAGTGTGTGTAAGTCTCTTTCAAACGTATATTAAAATAGCAGTCGTTACTTGTAAGACTTGTGAGCTATGATCTTTCATCTATCAGTCATTTCGATTAAAGATTGTGAACATATAGGATAATGTCAAACAACGCTGTCGCGTATTTCTTACAATTTCATGGCTTCAGTCTCATCAAAAGAGCACCCTCCCTTTGATAAATTTAGTTCTTCAGAACCGTTTATAACCTTTCTTTCACTTGAAAATCATTTACAGCAGTAAATAATGAATTTCCAATCTCGTCATTTTGCAGGTCGATTCTGGCATAATGCAGCTATATATAATCAGCAGCTGATGTCGGGTAGGTCAAAACATATCAAATAAGCTCATTTTAAACTTATAAGACTTGTTTAGAAAAGCTGCTGGTTGGAAATTTGTGAAGAATATTTAATACAACAAAACTCCCAACAGGATATGCTCAAAGTATTTGAAAATGAGATGTGTGTTCAGTTATGTATTCTGAGCATCACAAGATCTGACTGTGTTTACTATATAGTGACAGCTGTGACAAAGTTTATATGCTTCCAAATGACAAAATAAAAGTTCCAGCAAATATTGCATTTCTTGACTTGAAATTTAGTTATATTGGTGATCTGATACAAAAATTATTCACTGTTATTCTGAGATTCAGATTCAGATATTCAAATATATCACTGTTATTCTGAGATTCAGCGAAAATGAGCATGCATTGGTTAATAATTAATTACCCATAGGTTGGTTGCAAGTCAAGATTTCATTTCCTCACCACATGGTTTTAACTTGTTCCTCAGTGTCAATTAATGTCGATTCTCCAATTAAGATTCAAGCTGCCTTTACTAGTATGAAGTGTGATTGGCTCTATTTAATTTAAGCTGTATAATGTGCAAATCATGCTTGATTTCGTAGAAACATATCATTTATACTAACGGCCTTAATCAACTATAATTGATGAAAACTTTGAATTTATTCCCAAATTATGCAACTTTCAATAATATTAATTTCACAAACCTACAGCTGTTGAAAATATCGCCACCAAACCGACCAAAAGTTCGTATCATAATATCAATGTAACAACACTGCCATTTTTTTGCATTCAATACTTCATGTAACTTCTCCTATTACTACAACATCTCGGAAATTTTCAGCAAAAGGAAATTAGAAAATTCCCGCCGTGGCTCAAGCAGGCAACAAAATTATATTTGTAGAAGGATTAGTTCACGTTCATTTACAGGTTGAAAATTTCCAATATTGTATGCGCTAACTGTATGTATGTGTAACTAAACATGAAAAAAGTGTGAACAATTTGCATATATATCTATAAAGAGTTACTATTTGTTATTTCTCTAATTTTTACGAATAAGGAATGATTCAAGTAAACGTATTTCGACACTTTTTGTTTTCTATTGTTATATTTTTTAGGTGTTTTATTTAAAAAGTCAACTAATGGCAAAAAAAAGAGTTTTATGTTTTAATGAATTGAAAGGCTCTTTTTTGCCTTCTAAGTTCTCTTTCATTGAAAGGCAGTGTCATAAAGAAAATTATCCTTCTTCGAATATGCATTTGTCAATATAATAATAGCCATGCTTCAAAACTTCCACTCCAAGCTTTCACTTGAAAAAACGAACATCATGAAGAACCACAAGCATTAAAATTGACGAAGAAGTTATAGCTACTGTCTTTGAATGTCATATACTTTGTATTGATGTCTATATCCAGAGAACGGTAACCAATGCTCAGCACAGCAGCTACTTTGATATCCTTTTATCTCTTCAAGTCTCATGTGGAACTGTTTAATCAATCACATCACTTCAGATAAGCTTGACGCTGAAAAAGATCAAGGGAGAATTCAAAATGGCTGTGATTATGGAGATGAGTCTCGTGATTTGATGCTTATTCCTTACGGCTGCGCTGAGAGAAACTCAAGAGTTCGGAATGAATTTGAGATCAAATGCTTGGAAAAAGGAGGGTCTGCTTCAGTTGTAAAGGTAACTTTTTATTACTTAATCGTTTCAATAGATGGTAATTTGGTCATGTCAAAGAAAATTTGTTTGTGATTTAATTTTTGAAATGTTTTGAATACGCTTTGATACGTAATAAATTGGACGGCTGTCTGTATGCGATCAGAGGAATTCGTTTGTATCCGAAAAGTGTTCCGTTAAATTGCTAAATTGCTCGAGAAGAGAAGTTCCTTTCTAGATTTAAATATGCAAACATTGTAAGGTAGAATGAAATTTACTATCCAAAATGAATCAACATTAAGGGTTAAAAAGTGGCTCTTGTCAGTTGAGTTCACAGTTGCAGTCAAAAATTTAAAAAAGATGATAAATAAACTTAAAAGAAGGTGTATGCAAAAATATGCTTAATATTGCTGATGCATAAAAGTTCGTAAGTTGTAGGTATGATATGCATGTTATGTTTGTGTGCATTTCGTACTTATTATAAAAGATCACGAACACTCACACTCAATAAGTGCAACAAAGGCTTCAAATAATTATTAGATGACTTTGTAGCCATGCTCAGTAATTGTGATTGGGGGTAAGCAATTAAAAAACGTTGTTCTTGATATTACATCCAAATTGCCACGCCGCGCCTGCCACCGACTGCCACGCCTACCACGCCTCCTATATCGGGGAAACTGGCACGTCTCCGACTGCCACGCCTCCTATATCGGGGAAACTGGCAGGAACCTAAACATAAGACTTACTGAACACAAACGAGCTACTAAGAAACAAGACAAAACTAATCACATTGCCGAACATCACAGAATCACAAAGCACAACATTGACTGTGACTCGGCAAAATGCATCACTTACATCATGGCAAAATGCATTACTTATAGTACTGACTATAGACAACGGCTTACATTAGAAAGTTGGTATACCAACATGGAACAAGCCCCCCTGAACAGATCACAGCAATTACCGGCACGTTACAAACGACTTATTCACAATACAAACAAACGATCAACTTAAAACTTTTCACTTCACACTAATTCAAAATGACAATACACAATTGACACCCACACATTACAACTAAATACATCACACCTAAATCACACATCACAACTAAAAATAAAATATTTCACTTCACACTAATCCACATGACAATACACATTTCCTGTACACACAATACAATGACGTAAGAGCCAGATAACAAATACGGCTAACCTGGCGTTTACTCCTCATTTGACTCTGAAGATGACTACCGCTAAGGTTGTCGAAACGTCAGTCAACAACAATAAAAACAGTCCTTCTCACGACTTTTTTAACCTGGATGATCATCATTTACAAACATGTTTTTTATTGTAACAGAAATCAACGAATGTTGGTTTTATTCTCGTGGCAAAGGAGGCAGATGCATTAATACCGTTGGTTCTACAGATATAAGTCTTTAATTTTTTTAAAATATCTGTTGTAATAGCACTTCTATTTTTCTAAGGAAAGATTTGAGCCACCACTATTCAACGAAGCATTGATTAGAGGGACTGGTCTTGGGTGTTTGCGACTCGCTGGCTGTCTTTATTGCGTAAGTTGTGGGCACTGTCCTACAATATCAGACCTGTGTAGGTTAGGATTGTCAACAGTAGCAAAAATAACGACCGTTCCATTCATCGCTATTATTTTACCGGTTTCGCACTAAGCTTAGTTGCTGAACCATGATTTCCCTCGGCGTATCGCTGCTGATTTCTTTGAGGCTATTAACATGTACGCACTGCGCGCCTATTTTTACTACTTCATTGCGGGCGCAACATGCAGTATTTGATCGGCGTCATTGAGTTCTATAATAACTGGAGCGGCTAACTTTACTGGGGCGAGGTCGCCAAAAAATGGCGGCCAACGGACGTATTTCCGTTGAAATTATCGCTTTGCAGAAAAATAATATTCTCGACCTCCCCCTGGTGTCTATAGTAAATTAAAGAATTTTTCAAAAACAAACACGATATCACGCAATATGGATATCGTTAGTTCCATATTCTGTGACGTTTCTTTTTTGGCATTTCTTTTATAATGCCAACACTTCAATCGTTCAATTGTTGGATGTCGTAGTTTCCACAAAAAGGAACATATCGCTTCTCACTGGTGAGGTAGTTGTTTGTTTTGTTAGTCCGTCAACGATTGAAAAGCAATTATTCATGCACTTGTAAAGCCATAAAATACATATTAAAGATCGTGTTTTTTAAGACTGACTTGAACGCCAAATATACTGATGTTTTCCTGTTTTTGTCAAAAAAATTCTGCATACTTTTCTGTCATTTGCTAATGCATGAAATCGTAAATTTACCTATCTATTTGCAAGATAGTTTCCCTAAAGCAAAAAAGACCCTGCACACATTTTGCTCTATGAAAAGTATCAAAAAGAAATGATCAGCCCCAACAGTACCCATGATTTGGAGCAGAGCTTGTTATGTTCGATTTGCTGACAACATGCAGGGAAGACCAAGGAGTAAAGATGACTGGAAGATGTTATTGACCAGGCAGAGTCTTAAAAAAATGATAACGCTGTAAAGATAATTGATTTATTGTCTGCCTTTTCCAGAGTTATTTAATTTGATCATGGTCAAATTCTGTTGATGGAGAAAATGGATTCACTAATGCTTTGAAGTTAAAGTTCATGAACCAAAAAAAGATGGCAAGAAGGTTGTGTGTGTTTTGATGCTTAATTAAATGTCAATTCACAACATATAAAATGTTGTGAATTGACATTTATGTAAACATTTGTACTGAGATTGATGATGACTTGATGCAGATGTGAAGCATTAAACTGAATAAGCCATTGGGTTTTATATAACTTAATGTTTAAATCATGTCAAATCTTTTTCAAAATATTTTAGTTGAGTGTTGTTTAAATGTTACTAATATCTAATACTGAAGCATTAAAGATTCAGTGATGAAACCTTTAAAATTACTGTACTGTATATTTCTTATATATTTCTTATATTTTTTTAAGAAACAGTTTGAGCTTATTTACCTATTAGAGTACAGAATGGGGATTTATCATATGCATCATTGCTGCTTTTTTAAATAAATGTTTTTCACTTTTCAAAGCTTTTCTACAAATATTTTGCTTCTTATTTCTTTTCATGAGATTGATGATATAGAGGTAATGTAATCCAATAACTTTATAATTTCTAGAAAGCTTTTAAGCTTCTAGCATAAAAGTACACTATAGGTATTTGATTCATTTGGTTTTATTGCCTTGCTATGGCATATCCATATGCATTTCATCATTCATGTATGAAGAAAACACCAAATGTGGATACTCCGAGAACAAAATGCACTACCAACTGCTTATGAAATTTATTATTGAGGTGAAAACTATGTTAATCATTCAAATTGTGCACTTATATTGCAAATATAGGAAAAACAAAACAAAGTGAAAAAGAAGGGTAGAAGTATTAAAACTAAAAATGAATTATAAACACCATTGGAAGCATAAGTGTTTTGATGATTATTTGCATTTTCCCCAATTTATATATCAATACAACAAAATCAAAATGTGCTACAACTTTACAAGTATTTGATGCAGTTGCACTTCAGAACATCACAAAAAGGTTACTTAAAGTAAGTTCTATACAATATTGTTTGTTTTCATTTACCAAACCTATGCAGACTTGAGTCTTTTTGAAATTTAATATGAAACTCAATTACAGAAAATCCGTAAATATCCAGAGATTTAATATTTACTTTTTTAGAGAAACAAGTAAAAATCCTACAATTGTGGCGAAAAAAGCCATTGCCTTTCCACGAAAAGAAGCAAAATAGCAATGATAACAAATAAGCTAAATTCTTTCCCGTGAGCCACTGTGGAAATGAGCTATGATATACTTTTTTGTATAGACTAAAGAGTTTAATCGATCAAACAAGTTTGACGCTGGTAAGAAAACGACGCATATCTGCATTCATAGATGTGTAGCCGACATATAGCTCTTTCGTCGATAGTTATAAATACATCCTCGTAGGAGACGATAACTGGAAAGCTAGGTTGACTCGCTGTTAGGAATTTTAGGTTTTTATCGTGATTTTCATCAAAAAATTGCGTGCCGAATCCCAAATACACACAAACATTTTCTTCACT